AATCTGTCTTCCAAATATATTTGTTGGTTAATATGCATTTGGCTGTTAAGTTCTCAAAACACTTATTGAGCGTTTACTCTGTGCCAGGCACTGTTCTAAGCATTTTATATGCATTATCTAATTGGCATCTATACCAGTTCCCACACAACCATATGAAGGAGGCTCTGTTATTGTTCTCATTTTACAATGGCCCGTGCAAGTCTGGAAAGAGAGGTCATTTCTCCACATGACAGCAGAGTAGGCCCGTGGTGTACACACTGTAGGGGTCGCGTCCTGACTCCAGGGCCCATACCCATCCTCGCTGCTCCAGCTGCCTCAGTTGTTCCCAGGATGGGCCTTAGACCTTAGTTCAGGCTTTCCCCTCCAACAGAAATGCCACATGGACTGTCACCTTGACACCCAGCAGAGGCCCACACACATAGTAGGCAACTTAGGAGCGTTTGTTGCTCGGGTGCGTGTCTGCATGGCCCCTGGAGGGGCTTTTAGGCCCAAGAGCCACCCCCTGCTGGTCATCACGCTGACCTCTGTTGTCTTCTGTTCTAGGACGGCCACAGCTTGCTCCACTGCCCGACTAGCGGGTTAGTGCAGGCTCCCCCCTCCTGCACCCTGCCCCTCTCTGGTCCCTCATGGCTCCGCAAGTGGAGGCAGCAGGATGGCTTCTGTGGCCCACGACATGTTTCCTTGTCATCCCCTTCTGAGCCTTCTCACTGTGCCTCCCCTCACCATCACGTTCTCTTTTGATCTAGCAAATCCAGGCCCTTGGAGAAATCAGACAGTATGAAATATGAAAACTGCCTGGGAAGTAATTGAAGAAACACTGTGACTTTTGAAACCCATAGAGATAACACTCACACCTTCTTACTCACGTTATTTAATTTTTAATGGCAGATTTAATTAATGGAGATCGGGTCTTCTGGTTTCAGATGTACATACGGAGCAGCTGGAGGAGGAGGAGGGGCGGCTGTTTATAGGGTGGAAGAAAAGGCTCCAAGATCGGGAATCTGAAGAGTGTAATGGGGAAGAAAGATCACCCAGAGATAATAGTTCACGATCACTGGGTGCTAGTTGACGTGTGGGGATTCAGTACAGTGCATTTAGAGAGATGTCCCTGCAACGTTTAAATGGGTGATAGGGCTCCTTGCAGGCACTGCGCCCAGGCCTCCCCAGGCTCTGTGGGACTATGCTGCAGGCAATTCCAGGCACCCTGCTGGTACCACACTCCATCATCCACACAGCTGCCAGAATGTTCTCTGAAACACACATCTCCCCTGCCATTCCCTCACATAAAAAGTAAAACCTCTGCCTTCCGGCCTGCAGTTGAGAACCCCACATGCCCAGGTCCCAAGCTGTCTTTGTCTCCAGCCCCTTCCCTTGCTTCTGGTAAGACTACAGCATCTAACGTGTGGTGTCTCTCCCTCTCCCTCTCATTATTGGCTCATGTAAGACTCCGTTCATTAAAAGTGCATGTACCCTTTGACCCAAGAGTTTGACTTCTAGAATGTACCCTTCAGATATGCTCACTCGTGCACAAAGGTAAAGATGCCATGATGTGCCTTTCAGCATTGCTTGTGATCGTGGAACCTACTATGCAATACTATTCAGTGGGTGAAACGATGAGGCATCTGAGAAGGGAAGAAACGAGGAACGGTGTTGAGTCCACTGTGGTGCTGGGGGTGTGCATGGGTGAACTGGCTTGCGGGGGCAGTGTGCAGGAGGGGAGCGCTGGGGTCCAGGCTGGCCAAGAGGCTTACTGGTCACTGTATTCCTACCCTCTGCCCTTTGTGCTTTTGCCCTTTTAAACCATGTGTAAGTAGTATTTTTTCAAAAACATTGTTTAATATTAAAAAAAAAAAAAACTTAGGCCTTGATTCAAGTGCCAGCTCCCAAGAAACTAGTCTGATGGTCTCTGCCAGACTGTCTTTTCTTGAGCACATGGGACAGTTGGCTGAGCGTCCCATTGTAATTGTGACATTGTGTTGCCTGGGAGCCCCGTGAGGCTAGGGGGCAGGCGTGCTTGTCTTGGAAACCCCGGGTACTCAGGGGGTTCTCCATATGAGCATGGATGGTTCCAGTCCTTAGAGAAGCCCACAGTGGTGGTATGGTCCAGGGGCCTGCAGAATGCCCTGCTCCTCCTGGCAGAGGGTCTGAGTGGACTCCAGAACCCTCAGGAATGCCTGGTGGACACAAGGAGAGGGCTCAGCATCCCCAGGGCTCAGACCAGGACCTCCGTGGACCAGGGGAGCCACACAAGGGACGCTCCGTGGTGCGTGGTCCCAGGGTCTGCTCAGGCAGATGACATGGCAGACTTGGCGGGGAGGGCGGGCGCGACAGGAAGGGGAATTCCTCTGAGTCATTCTGAGAGACAATAGAGGAAGCTGCAGCAGGATAATCACAACCACTTCTTGGCCTGTGGGCACTTCCTGTGACAAATCTCGCCGACCACATGTTCAGTCTGAGCTCTTAAGCAACTCAGCTGCTTGCTGAGCTCGCCCTGGCCAGGCCGCCATGTCTGTGGAGATGCAGAGGCAGCACCGAGGCACTAGGGGTCCCAGCAGCCCACCTTGGAAAGGGACATTGACAGACCACAGGCCACAGGCCTAGCAGTGACCTGACGTGTCTCCAAAGAGGAGAAGGCCTGAGCTGAGAGACTGTCTTGTGGCAAAGAGAACTGACCGGGGGTGGATGGAGGAGCTTAGTAAGGCCTATGCCTGCCTCAGAAAGTCCAGTGATGCCATGGGGGGCAGGGTGAGCACCGTGAGCCCACCACCACTCAACCCCGTCTCCCAGCCATCCTGCAAGAGAGTTGGGAGCCCTGTCTTACCACGAGGAAATAAGCTCCAGGAAGTAAGTGACTCACTAAAGAACACAGACCACATATGCCTGAGGAAAATGGAAATGTGGGCCTACGGGTCATCCCATCTTCTGTGAGGGCCCATGGATGGAAGGGTCAGACTGAGTCTAAACGATTCCCATCAAGGACATCACAGAAGAGCATCTGCGTGGAGTGGGAGGAGAAGCCCCGAGCCAATTCATGTCTGTGTGTCCTTACTCCCACACCTAGGATAGTCCATATTGGGTGAATGTCAGACTGGTTTAGACAAAATCATAATCTCTTGGCTGGAACATCAGGACTCCAGAGAGAGAACATGGGGCAGCTTGGAGTCAGCAAAGACCTGCAGGAGCCAGAGCAGTTCTGGGGGCGGGGGGAGGAGAGCCCCTATTTATTTTGTGCCTGTTGTGTGCCAGGAGTGTTCGAATTTCCCATCTGCTGTGCCTGATGGTTGGCAGAGAGAGGCATGGGATATCTCGCCGGTTTAGAAGTGAGGGCCTGCCAGGCTCACTCAGCATTTGGGGGGTTGAAGACCCAGCACTGGGCTCACCCCAGCACAGCCCAGAGCAGTATTCTGGCACCCAGGCTCCTGCTGGTATGGGCCCCAGGTGTTCCCTCAGGCACACCCCCTTCCATGGGCCCTCCCACTTGACTCTTCCCTGAGGCAGGTACCAGGATGGGATGAGGGCCAGGTTCCCACCCAAACTCAGCCTTTGATACCCTGCAGGTCTAGGGGAGGTGCTTCCTGCCCCTGTCTTGATTACCTTCTCTGCAGATGGATGATGGGGTGCCATGGGGCTAAGGCACTTCCCCTGCATGGCTCTGATCTGGGTACCTTTTCCATTTTGTCTAAGGAGTAAATTGTTCCTTTTGGGCCAGGCTACCTCTGTGCATGGTAGAGTGGGGAGATCCAGGCTTGGAGTCGACAGGCATACACAGGGGCATAGCTCTATGACTTCAGGATCCCTTTACCTGCCTCTTGAACTTCTTATAGGGACTGACCCATGCTGGTGGGAGGCACTTGAAGCTGGAAGCTTCCGTTTACCCATCTGTAAAAGAGGGGCAACCCCCCCTCCACACACACACACACAGGTTCTAAAAAGGGTCTAGCCCAGGTCTGCAAGGGTAGGCAGGCTTCAGATGGCACCTCTGCTATCTTGTCACCCTCACCTGGGAAGTCTGACTGTTGACTCGTCTTGGGCTGTCCTCTGGGGTTTCATTCTTGACACTGCTTCCTGCAAAAAATCAGTCTATCTGCTGTGAGCCTCAAGGTGCTCCACCAGGAGTGTGGTGGCAGGTCAGGTGAGCAGGTGTGTTTTTATTGGTCTCTTCTGGAAACAAGTGGAAAGTGCTAGGTTCTGGGTCTTTGAGGCATAAAGAAGGGGAGTAACTTACCCAGAGTCACACTGTGGTGGCCCCAGGGCTTCAGCCCAGCTTTGTCTTACTGCAAGGCCGGGCTGTTCTCTACACCAATCTGGTCTGTATGTGCACACTTACTAGGTAACCTCAGAAGGGATGGAGGTGCATGCCTTTGCTACCGCCCTGCAGCTCTGGACAGGGAGCCACCTTGCCAGGGAGTGCAGTGGTCATGGCAGGCAGCAGAGCACACACCCAGCTGGGAACCAGACATGTAATGCAGGGCTATGGTCTTGGCACAGCGCTTGCTCTGTGGCTTTGGGTAAGTTGCTTCACCTCTGGGCAACAGAGTCCACCAACCTATAAAATAGGGGTTGGACCAGATCAAGTCTCAGTATGCTTTTTCTTTAAACATAGTAAGTATTGTAGTCTCTGTTTAAACTACTCGCCTCTGCTATTGTAGCACAAAAGCAGCCATTGACGATGATTAAACAAATCATGAGTGTGGCTGTGTTGCAATAAAACTTTATTTACAAAATCAGGTGGCAGGCCAGGTTTTGCTCATGAGTGGTGGATTGCTGACCCCCAAACCAGAGGATCTACATGTCCCTCCAGCCGTTGCTACTCTAGGATTCTGCAGCCAAGGTTGGCCCACGGTGGGTGGGAGCTAGACCCGAGCTGTTGATCAATCACTGATCTGCTTTGATGCTGGTCAAGAAATTAGCATCTGTCGATTTTTAACATGGTTGCTCCCGTGAGGGAGCCAGAGGGAAATTTCAATCTCTGGTAACCAGTTCTGTTTTTCTCTTTGTAGAATGCCGAGATGTATAAACTGTCTTCACAGCAATTCCATGAGGCAGCTTCGAAAATGGAGGGCACGATAAAGTAAGAATTTGCTTATTATTTTTTGTAAACTTAGCCTGTATTTGTAAGAATCACCACACATGGCTTGAAACCTGCCACCACCTGCCTAATTTCAAATTTCTCTAATAACATAGACAACCATCTGCTCCTCGGTCTCTCACCTGGATATGAGGCAGCCATTGGCCATCTATAATTGGCCAAATGAGCACTCAGCTCTTCCCTGGCTCCCTGGCGGTGGGAATGGGGCTGTGGCAGACGGGCAGACTTGTTTCAGACCCTTTGTACTGTGGGCTGGGCCACAGATTGGCCATCAGGCTCCCAGGGGAGTCAAGGAAAGGGTGCTGCTGCCTTGCCCCCCGCCCCAGTTTGTGGAGGTGGTTTTCAGAGCAGCCTGTTCCTGAGTACAGCTCTGTGTGCCTGGCCCTGAGCCATGTACCTCTTGCATGCTGACGTGCTCAGGGCAGCTCCCATTTTATTCCCAGAAGGACTGGGGCTCAGGGACGCTGGTGGCTGGCTGAGGTCACATAGCACTGAGTCCCAGCATCCAGTCTGTCCTGCTTCTGTGCTGTGAGGGAGGCTTCAGAGCCAGAACATTAAGGCATGGCAGGTGCATGCAGTGTGTCCATTACAATTGCACCCTACTGCAGGGGGAGGTCACAGGACGGTCTGCAGGGGGTGCTGTGGAAGGGAGAGCTGGGCCTTGCACCCTGGGTCCTTTGTGTGAAGGTGGTCTCTGTGGACCAGGCCAACTCCCTCCTCCTCCCTCAAGGGTCTCTCCCTCCCAGGCGTAAATCAGGGTGATTCCCCAGGTAAACCAGTCACAGTGCAGAATGGTGAGGGGTTGGATGTGGCACGATGAGAAGGAATCATCAGAGGGAGGTTTAGGTGACTAGGAGGTGACAAAGTGCTTATAAATACAGCTGCTGATGCAAACCGTGCAAGGAGCCAGGAAGGGTAGTGGGAGCAGATGGACTCAGTACAAATCTGGGGTGCAGCATGGGGCATCTGAAGCTAGGAGGCCATACTTCTGGAATGGACTACAGAGCCGCTTTGGGGAAGAGGAGTTATCTTGGGATTTCAAGTCCTAGAGCAGGAGACTCAGAGAAAGAACTTTCCGGCAAGCAGGTAGAGACTGGAAAGGTCTTAAGTCTGCCCACTGGGATCCCACGGGGATTCTGGGTGTGACCAAATGCTGTGGGCTGCACAGACCTCGAGGAATAGAATGTCCCAGCTGTGCTCGCAGACAAGGGCCCAGGTGGTTTGTCAAGGGCTGAGAAATAACTCAGAATCATGCTCAGTGAGAGGGAGAGGTTGAGAAGCAGTCACACCCCAGACTCTGTGGGGTGATAGCCACCCCAATAATGTGATCCCTGGAAATGGACAAAACCGCAGTGCAGCCTCTCGCCTGGGCCGATCCCCTGGAGCTGCCTGTGGGACAGTGATGCTGGATCCTTAGCCCCTCTCCCTCTTTACCTGGATCATGGAACAGCCCGCCAAGGGGAAGAGGCTCTAGGGAAAAGCCAGCCAGCTTTACTGTCAGTGACCATGCTGTTTTGTTGCCTGCCATGTGGTCCACCATCCCGAGAGTGGAGACTCCTGGCCTCCTGGTCCCCTGGATTAATGCATTTGACTTTACTGTCACATCCTTTCTCATCGTCATGTCTTCTGAAGGCAAAGGGGAGATGGCATGTGAGTGTCTTCTTAATCTGAGTGAAGGGAAAGGTTTTTTTCAAATGTACAACATCCCTTGATAATTACTACTATATGCTAAGCATATGACTAAATGGAGATGCTCTGCAAGGCACTTCCAATGTATCCTCTTATTTCCTATCGTTGGCATTTCACAGATGAAGAACTGAGGCTGGAGAGGTGGGATGCCCCTTACCTGGCCCATGATTACGCTCCAAGCTGGCGTCAAGCTTCATTTAGATGCTTCAGCGCCACGGCTCTTCTCCATGTGTCTTTGCATCTTTCCTCTCCCTCGAGGGCCCCTCTGAATGTGAGATGGGTGTCAGGATGGTGCTGAGCCTGCCTGGGCTCTAGAGTCAGGCAGACCTGGAATCCACCCTGGCCCTGCCTCTTACTGGCTGGTCCTGTGACCTTGGGCAGGTCACTTCCCCTCTCTGATTTCCTCATGTGCAAAACAGAGCTGATATCCCTCTAACGCTTTGAGTGAGATAACACATAGAAAGCAGACCTAGCGTGTCAACAGTTGTTGGTGGTACTGTGACCGTTTTTAATAATGGCAGTCATTTGAATCACTCTCGCAGCACCCCGCTTGGCATAACGTGGCACAGATTTAATCAATAAATTGAGCTTACTAAAAAAAAAAAAAAAAATTGCCTTTGCCCAAACAGAGTAAACAGGAAGCAGTGCAGAGTTAGAAATAATTTTACTTAAACATTGGGGATGGAGGGTGGAATCCTTGATTGGGAGATTTCTTGGATTAGCAAATGATTGTAAATTGCATTGTAAATGCCACAGAAATAAATGCCAACTGCTGACAGCAGTAATAGTTCTCTTCCAAGACAGTGAGCATCTTTTAACAACTTTGAGTAAACTGGATGTTTACTTAGGTGGCTAACTAGATGTCCATGTATTCATTTGTTCATTTAACATACATGTATAGAGTGTCTACTGTTTGCCAGGCACCATGCTAGGTAGGTGCTGGTGATAGAATGATAAACAAGACAGCTCCAGTTCCTGTCAGCAAGGAGCTTGTCATTTGGAGAATGACAAACAATATTTTTAAATTAATTGCATAAAAAGCAATTGCCCAAACAGTGATTGATTATGGTAATGAGCCATGAAAGAAAGTGTTTGAATTAAAAGGCACATGTCTGAGGACGCTAATGCAGACTTAGATGTTTGGGAAGGCTTTTCTAAGGAAGTGACATTTAAACGGATTCCTGCAATATGAGGAGGCTTTGACCAGAGGAAGGAAGTGGACAGAGCACTTCAAACAGAAGTTTCCACATGTGCAAAGGCCCGGGGGCAGGAAGTGATTTAGCATATTCGAGGAACTGAAAGGCCAGTGTAACTGGAGAGGAATGAATGAGAAGAGAGAGACAAGGATGAAGGATGAGAGACCAGGACTAAGAAGTCAGCAGAAGCCAGACCACACAGAACTTTGTAACCATGTTAGAGATTTCACTCACATACTAAAATTAGTGAAATACCATTTCAGCTTTCTTTTTTTCTTTCCTAATATATGCACTTATGGTATTGACTTCTCTATAAACACAGCCTTAGCTGCACCCTAATGTTTTGATATATTGTGTTTTCATTATAATTCAGTTCAAAATTTTTCTAATTTTTATTCTGATTTTTTTCTTCAACTCATGGGTTATTTAAAAATATATTGCTTAATTTCCAAACATTTGGTAATTTTGTAGTTATATTTTTTATTTAAAAAAAGTTTAAAAAACTTATTTAGTAATCTCTACCCCCAACTGGGGCTCAAACTCATGACCCTGAGATCAAGAGTCACACACTCCACTGACTGAGCCAACCCAGCACCCCTCTAGTTACTTTTTGAATAATTGATTTTCAGTTTAATTCTGTGGTTGAAGGACATACTCTAAATCCTCTAAAATTTTGGGACCATGCTTTATAGCCATATATATTATTTGTTTTGTTAAGCACTCTGTGTATATTTGAAAAGAATGTGTGTTCTGCCAATGCGTGTAGTATTCTGTGTTTGTCGGTTAGGTTCAGTCGGTCAGTCAGGTTCAGATTTTCTGTATCATTACTGATGTATGGATTTACGGTTTCTTTCTGAGATCACTTTCCTTCTAACTGAAGAACTTCCGTAGTATTTCTTTTAGTGTTGCTTTGCTGATTATAAATTCTCTTTTTTTAATTGTCTGGAAATCTATTTCATCTCAGTTTTGAAGAATCTTCTCTTTGAGCTCCTTGAAGGTATCTTTACATTCTGATGTGATATCTTTTTTTCCCTGGAGAAGTCAGCTGTTGATGTTATGATTACTCCTTTTTTGGTAATTACTTTTTTTCCCTCTGTCTGATGTTTA